ATGAATGCATGCATGGATGGATGGATATGAACGAATGGATGAAACACGTGCTCGACTCGCTCTTTCACTCTGTCTCTGCCTCTCTCCTCTGTCCGATGACTCTCTTCCCGAGTCTCACTTCCCCCTCTAAATGGCATTACCCGAAGACCTAGCGAAACCGAACAGTTAAAAAATAGTGCTATGGGGTGCTACTATATTATTGCAGGTTGTAAGGTTACGAAATCAACACTTATTGAGCTCCACACAACACACTAAGGTTCCTCCCCAACCCCTAAACCCTATATTATACGACCCATAAATCTTGTACCCTGTAAGCCCTTATAAGCCCCATAAACCCTAAAAGCCCTATGCACCCGACAAACCCTGTAAGCCCTATATAACCCCATAAAGCCGTTGAGCCCTCAACCCTGAGGGGTTTAGGGTTTAGGATTTAGGGTTTAGGATTCAGGGTTTAGGGTTTAGGATTTAGGGTTTAGGATGTAGGGCTTAGGACCTTTAGGATGTAGGGTTGAGGATTTAGGGTTGAGGACCTTTAGGATGTAGGGGATTAGGATTTAGGGTGTAGGGTTGAGGATTTTGGGTTTAGGGTTTTCATGAGAAGCTTAGATACCTCGGCGAAGCAAGCCGAAGCCAAGGCGAAGATTGCCAAAGCCGCCATGGTGGCAGAGGGGCTCTCTTGCGACATGAGGGGGGGGGGCCTAAAATGCCCACAGCCAGTTCGTGGAACCAAAGGTGTCGGAAGTTTAGGGCCCTTGGGATTTAAGTGTTTTTTCGCTTTAGATTGTTTTAGGTTTTGTTTTTTAGATTGTTTTCGGGTTTAGGGGTTTAGGGATTTAGCGTTTAGGGATTAGGGTTTAGGGTTCAGGGTTCTGCCTGCTAGGACGGTTAGAAATGGGACTGGAGACGGCAGTGTTGCTGGATGTTGGCGGTGTAAGCCAGATCGGCAAGTCACGTACAATGACAAGATGATAGTAGCACCGACGCCTCTTTCGGCCAAGCTGGCATGCCCTAGACCCTCAAGCATCAGATACACTCCGGAGCGGAAACAATGCACACAAAAGCAAGTTGGGCAAGCCCCCTGAAGCCCATCGAGTTGCCCCTGGTGTGCAAACTATGATTTTCTTTATGGAACTCCTCAAAATCTAAACCCTAAGCCCTAAACCCTGAACCCTAAACCCTAAGGCCCTAAACCCTAAAGCCCTAAACCCTAAGGCCCTAAACCCTAAGGCCCTAAACCCTCAAAGTCTAAACCCAAGCTCCCGCAAGACCAAGCCCGCCCGTCATTCCTAGCTCGGCCCGAAGCCGCGTCCGGGTGACCGCCGCGCCCTGTCATGAAGTGGGCTTGAGGGTTTAAGGGTTTGGGGTTTAGGGGTTTGGGGTTTAGGGCCTAGTTTAGGGTCAAGTGGGAAAAGGGTTTAAGGGTTAGGGGCTTAGGGGTTTAAAGGTTTAGGGTCCGAAGGTGTCGAGGACGGTTTTAGGGTTGAAGTTTCGCCCTGAACAAGCACCTGGCAAAGATGCACTGTTTCTTCACGAGGTGCTGAAGTTTTTCGGGTATCTCGGCGCGACCAAGGACCTTTCCCAGAGACTCCAGAACCCGTTAATTACGGAACTTGCCTGAAAACTTTAGGGGAATCCTTATTATGATTTACTGTACATCACGTTTACTTAGGGGATTTTGGAATCTCGGGGTCCATCACTTGGATGCGACTAGTGCAATCCCCCATGGCTGGAGAGTGGGCTGGAGTTGACCAAGCTCCACCTCTTGCGGCAGGGTGATGGAAAAAAATCACAAGGTAACAGACCCTCTTCTCGCACACTTAGGGTTTAGGGTTTAGGGATGCGTACTTCGAAAACTTTACAGGCATATCGGTTGTTCTCCGTTCGACAGGACGTGTCGAGCCGGCCGAGACTCCATGGAAACGGAAGAATGGGATGAAATAAAACACCATGTGGAAGCCAGAACAGGGCAAACGAAGGGCAGCACAATTAGCAACACATGCTACGAGGAACCATCATTGACATGTGGTTGGCTTACATTTGCTTACATTTGCGAGCACGTCCCTGGAGGCAGGCTCGTCGGAACGAGCAGTAGCCGCTTTCCTGTTGCATAGAAGACAACATACACCGGTGCAGCTCAAAAAACTAACTTCGGAGCTTTCGGTGGGTGGGCTAAGATCAGGTAATCTAAGGAAGAGGGTCTTGGGGCACAGTAATCGTGCAAGTAACGTAGGGGTCTGAATATTTAGAATAAGGACTTTTTTTTTGGGGGGGGGATATTATTATACTGTAGTTATAAGGCCCCCGAATAGTATAGGTAATTTATTTAGGCCCCTACAGTGGCCCTACAGTACATTGAGCAACCGAAAGAAACAGCATTGGCAATTACTTCAAGCTCCTGTAGAACGCAGCAGCAAAGGGGCTCTTCCAGAACAGCATGACGTTGCACTGTGCGAAACTGCCACAACCTTCAACCCCAGTAATTTGGGCACCAAGCTACTGTCTGGACATCCGACTCGACTGCTGACGAGTTTGCCCAGAGTTGGGTTCAGGTAAGGGGACATGGAGACTGAAAAAGCTTGTGGGAGCCTATGTAAGAGCCTGCTGAAGTGAACGAGAAGTAACTATGTTGACGCTCAAAGCCTCTGAAAAATAGTTCTCAATTACTGTCTCCTGAAGCCCAAGTAAGAAAAATATAAAGTGTCCCAATGGCCTACCTAGGTAAGCATTCGAAGGTGAGCACGAAGAGGGCTTGAGTGAAACGTCAAACTGCGCTCCCCACGGGGGTCCAAGGGAAAGTCGCGTAACGTCGGGGCCTTAATAATTAGAATAGCGTGTTGGGCTCCTTGAGAGTACAAGTATAACAAGGAACCGAAGGAACAATGGTCTCTGTTTAGGCCCCAGCCTATTTTCTATTTTCGGCTTAAAAGAAACCCAAGCCATGCTCTCCAACTGGCTCGCGAGTGAGACATGCTTCTCAGGTATCCTGGTATCCTTCTTAGGAGAGTCTGAAGGTCTCATTGAGCAATGAAAGCAACCCTTCGCAACCATAAGAATGACCCACCGTACCCCAAATCCTCAACCCTAAACCGGTCTGTTGCACCTCACCCGGATCCTCCCCACCACTGGTTCAATGCACAACACCTGCTGTCAGCATGCTTTCATTGACGAAGTTACTTCGACTTGCTGACTTGCAGCGCAAGCCTCGCATCAAAGTGAGCAGTCTTTAGATGACGAAGTTACTTCGACTTGCAGCGAAAGCCTCGCATCAAAGTGAGCAGTCTTTAGTTGACGAAGTTACTTCGACTTGCACCGAAAGCCTCGCATCAAAGTGAGCAGTCTTTAGTTGACGAAGTTACTTCGACTTGCAGCGACAGCCTCGCATCAAAGAGATTGCCAGGAGTAGCCACGCCAATGTCAACCAGGGCCAAAGGTCCACGTAGCCTGCTCGTTGCAACAACGTGTAGGGCATCCTGCTCGCTAACCTTGGTCCCGTCTGGGGTTTAGGGTTTAGGGTAACCTTGCTCCTGCTTTGGAAAGCAAGGAAATGGATCCAGTTCAGAGGCTCCATTTCGGAATTCGAACTAAAACCCTAAACCCTATAAAAACCGAAGCCACCAAAAAACAAAAAAAGAAACGAAAAAGATCCCGCACCTTGGCCAAGCAACCATATAGCTCCGAAGGCCGCGAAGCTTGCCTAAGTGCTTTTGGGTTGCGTGTTCAGTGTTTAGTATGAACTGTTGCTAAATAGTATCCTTTACAGTGTAGGGCTTAAGGTATTGTTACTGGGTAGTATCCTCCTAAAACCGACATTAACCCAAGGAGGCAAAAAGACAAAATATCCCAGTGGCGAAACCTGGCTGCACAAGAGACCAAGAGGGATGCTTTTAGTTGCGACATCTTCGCCATAAGAGGTAAGCCAAGCTTGCACAGCTTCACCAGAGCATAGGGGAAAAGGAAGACTGCAAAGAACCTGGACCACTCACGTGTCACCACAGCCAAACACCTCCATGCAGCAGAGAACGGGCCCAGCTCTTCCTGAAAAAGACAAAATGCCTTTGCCCAAGCCAATGAATCGCAAAACCACGGTGCACAAGCAGCAACAGTCATACACGCTACGACGCGGATCGGAAAGATCACCGAATCCGCGCCTTCCAAAACTTTGTCGCGTAGGCTGGTTTGCACGGTCGAGTTAAAGCGTTTGAGATGCTCATCAGCGCTGTCCCCAGCTTCCCCATACCACCCTTTCAAGGTGTGGAAGACCAAGCGTCGGTCACAACGCAATTTCTGGCCAGTGTCTGGATGCCTATGATCGTTGGAACAGCAAAAGCACTCAGAGCGCTCAACATCGAACTGCTTCAATTGCGGCTCCAGGTCCCGAATGTCTCTCAAGGTCCCCAAGGCAGAGTAACATCCAACCGGAATAGCCGCAAGAAAGAGCATTCCAAAGCCAACCATGCTGATCACCTGGGTTCTTGTTAAGGGACTTAACTTAAGTTACCATCATAGGGATATCTATAGTAAAAAAACATAAGGTTTCCTTATTATGGTAACTTAAAACTAATAACAAAAGCCCAGTCACGTAGGGTGTCACTGCATTCCCTGCCTCAAGAGCACCAGTCTGCAGGGCCCAAGCAAGGACGTTGTTTTGAACCTGAGTTCCCTCCACAGTTCCCCTCAATACTAAGGGTACCCTTTTCTGCTGCTATTCGGTTTTTAAAGTTTTATAGACAGGAAACCTCAAGAAAAGGGCAAACGGGTACTTGGGAACCTAGGAACGACCCCAAGAAATTGACAAAAGCTGTTCACCACAAGCATCACGGATAAGGCGACTGGACGCAGCGTCAATCCCTTCGTCTGCTGTCTGTGTCGTAAGAATGTAGCGACCTCGTAGCAACACCAAAGACGAGTAAAATAGCGCGCCGACCACAAAACCTGGGTTGTCATTTTGGGGCCCTGAAGAGTATTTATGAATAGGTACCTCTATAGAAACCATAAGGGAAACTTTAAAGCTTCGCACATTGCCGACCACAAAACTGTGAGGTGGTCCGCCTTGTCCAGAAACCCAGCCAGGCCGAGAATGCCCTTTTCCTTCAGCTCTGGATTACCCTGTGCAATGCCTGGGTTCTTCTTAGAGGATTTTTGATTTAAGTTACCATAATAAAGAAAGATGCCTGGGTTCTTGTAGAGGAATTTTAAGGGTTTAGGTTTTAGGGGTTAGTGTTTAGGGATTTGGGGTTTAGGGTTTAGGGTTTAGTTGCCAGAATAAAGTATCCATATTATTCACTATAGATCCCTAATTCTGGTAACTTAAATGAAATCCTTTAACAAGAACCCAGATGCAGAGCTTGTCAAGGAAGACCACGAGGGGTCTACCCAAGAGGGTGCGGATACGTTGCCAGAAGAAGAAGAACAACAAGAACGCCAGGTAGACGCAGAAACTACTCAAATGAATCTCAACACCATCGCCATACTTGGGAGCAGTGTCCTTAGTTGTCCGCTTCGTAGGCCCAGCAGCCTGAATCTATGCGGGGTTCTTTGCAACGAGTTCAAAGCCTTGCTGCCTCTGCAAGTAAGTGTCAGTTGGTCTACATAGGCCTAGAACCAGCGAACACATCAGAGTTGCAACCATTGCTGCCCGAGAATTAAAAATGAAAAGCATGGTGCAGAGCTTCAACCATCGAGATGTGAGCCAATCGTGGCTTAGGAAATGGTCGTACCTGGAAGTCTTGAAGCTCAACTCAAAATCTGCCTCCGTTGAGTTGCTAGCCCAATGGCTACCCATTCCACGGAGGCCTTCGCTTAGAGTCACAGCCCTCAACAGCTCCTCTTCAAGGTCCGTGCGAAGTTGCGGGCCTTCATCGCTCAAGCTGCCGGACCTCCGCGTTTCGGGTCGCCGGGGCTCTGGATCCCCGGGACGCAGATCCACCTGGGCAGTTCTCTGCATGAGGGTCACTTTTTAGGGTCCTCCTTATACGGCAGCCGTGCTGTTTGGGGGGGACCCTAAACCCTAAGGGTCCAAAGGACCCAATAATTAGGTATATAGGTTTCGAATAGTAGTTATGTAGGTTACTATTTGGGAGAGTATATGATTCTTAGGTACTTGGACCCTTAGGGAAACTTCCAAAGAGCGCCTCATTTCGAGAACCACGCGCCTGCACGACACTCTCCGATGGCAGAGACCAGGTCTCGGGATCACCAGCCACCAGGAAATGCGACATGAGTGCTCCAATCCCAAAGGGTCCTAAGTACCTATATGGGGTATACTTGCCCAAACCCATAATAGTAATTTCTATGATAGAAACCCCTACCATTGTACTATATAGATACTTAGGACCCTTTGGGAATGGGCAGTGGGCGGCTGCAGGAAAAAAAGGGAAGAGGACAAGAGCTGTGAAGCCGTCGCCGCGGTGTCAACATCAACTTCTCAACAGCTGGCAAGGCAGCCTCACTCTCAACATGAGTCATGATGTTCAGAGTGGCAGTCGCAACAGAGATAGGGTTTAGGGTTTAGGGTTTAGGGTATCTACATCAACCCGTGATCCTAGCAGTCAGTCTAGCGGACCTGGCAAAAACGGCCAAGACGTGCTCAGGCCGACCATCCTGATGAGAGCGGTCGTAGCCTGCACCTCCAGCGCCAGAGGCCAGGATTCGGCATGCCTCAGCACACCCCTAAACTATAAACCCTAAACCGCTGAACCTATTCTCAACTTGGGGCCCGTGCAACAATCTTAGTTTTAGCTGCTTCTTGGGCATGATAGTAGCCACAAATTAAGAATGATTTCTAAGTATACTAAGAACCAACGGACAAACTACTGCCGTACTTCAATCTACTTCAGAGAATCCTAGACGCTGCGTAACAATCCTAAAGCCTATAAGACTACTTCAAGCAACCCGAAACCCTAAATCTCAAACCCCATACTCTTTCAATCCGAGTAAACCTTACCTGCACCCTGAAACACCTACCTTTTTTGAGGACTTATACAAGGAAATCA